AAAAAAAAAAAAAAAATTGGTACAGATCAAGGACCTAGATTCTAGAACCTTGGATACAGATGACTTCGATCACCGTTTCGCAGTTTTTCTACTAGAGTGCGCTATGTGCAAATGTGGTATTTAATATATATAATTTATATAAAAAAATCAAAACTCAGTTAATTAATTTTATATTTGCAACTGAAAAAACTGCAATTGCTTAATTAAAAAATTTTTTTTTAAATAATATGCTTATAAATTTTTTAATTAATCTCTACTTCGGGGACGAGCGCATTTATTAGACCAAGACCAATCGGGCTTAGGCCCGCAAATCAGGTGAACTAAATAAAGAACATTATTTTTGAACTGTAAGACTAAATATCTGCATCCATAATTCCAGTATAATAAGTCCTGTTAATATATAGATTGTACTTGTAATACAAAATAAATTTTAAATAGAGTTATAAAAAAGGACAAAAAGGCATATTAATTTTTAATTAATCATTTGAAGTTGAAAAGTCTATTTCGAAAAATATTGATAAATCTTTTAATTAAATTGTAAGACGTAAAAAATATATATTTGAAAGATTTTTAATAAAAATAAATTTTATTTTTTTAAATATGATCTAATCATTAATATTTATATTATAATAAAATTTACTTAAACGAATAAAATTGTTTAAGAATATTTCAAAAACATTTTAATATAAATTCCGATAATAGATGGCAGCACACACAATAATTAAAAGTTTAAGTGAAAAATATTTTAAAAGTATATGTATATATAATATAGGCTTTAAAATATAGTGAAGAAGAAAGAAATATTTTTATGCTTTTTTAAAAAACATAAAACAGTTAAAAGAAAACTAAATGAATGGCTATAATTCTTTAAAATAAAAATACCATAAATATTTAACAAAAATTTTTAAATGAGCACTTTTACGTTTTCTACACTTATTGAATTAATATAATGTTTTTCATATTTTAAAATTTATAATTTAAAAATCAATCACAAATAAAATATTCGGGTAATAATTAATTACAACATACGTCATAATTGTATATGAAAATCCCTATCGTCTCAGATATTTCCCTCACTTCCTGTAAGAAAAAATTTCAGTTAGGGAAAATTCAGAGAAACTTCAAACTCTCATTGGTTACAAAAATCCCTACCTCGAGTGCCTATTGGACACTACATTTAAGGACCGCCCATACCGTCCTGAAAAATTCCCTTTTTCCCTACAGGGAATATCCCTAATATTCGTTACAGAGGAAGAATAAATCCCTAAGCTGCTTCTTGTTCATAACTCGTATTTGATTGGTTGTCGTGCTCTATTTTTAAACTATTATTACCCGGAAATTTCCCTTTTTTTATTTCCTGAAAGGATTTATCCCTATAATTTTTCAATACTAAGAAAATATGATGATATGAACTTTCGGTTTTGAAAGATATATATATATATACATATATATATATATATATATATATATGAAAAAGTAGGTTATGTAATTATCTTAGTAAACGATTTAAATAACGTCGTATGCTTGAATATATTTACGCTATATTTATTAAATTTTAAGAAAAAAGAATAAAATGGCGATCGTTCGAAATCAGCACGATGAACCACCGAAGGAGATCATAATATTGTCATCGAGTGACGAAGAAAGCTCGGTAAGGTGTTAATAAAAATGTTGCCAAATATTTTGAATTTAGTTGAATTTTAAATAACAAAATTTGAATTTTGAAATTTATTTCGAAACAAACATTTGATCTTTTCAGTGAAAATTAATTCGTTACATTTTTTTTTTCTTTTTAACCATCTTGAAATTTAAATATTTGAATTTTGAAATTAGTCACATGGTGAAATAGATTAGTTTTTTTGACGCTGTTTTTAAATTTGAATAATTTGATGGTAATTTTATACAAATAATTTTTCAGATGTAATTTGGAATGTAACTTGATTAATGATACTGGATTATATTTATATGGATATTAAATGAAAATAATATATTAATTTGATGTAATCATGTCATTGATGGTCAGTTTTATTCGTTTTATGTATAAAATGCATATTTACACGACGAATAATATGATTTTGGAAAAACAATTAATGTTCATTTATTTTTATTTTTTATAAAGAAAAGTTTTATGAGTTTATTATAGGATGGAAATCAATAATGTTTTCTTTGATCATTTTTGAAATATACCATTTGTATACACAGACTGATTATGTGTTTGTGCTAACATATGATAAGTTTTATTATTTTTCTATCAGATTTGCTTTGATAATTTGATGAAAAATTCAATCATTTGCTATTTTATCTCATATTTCTTGTAATTTCAAAAATAAAATTTAAAGTTTGATGTAATAAAATTTGTCTGTAAATAATATATCCTATATTTAGTTTATTGCTAAAAGAATGGAAGGAATTTTTGATTATTGTCTGAATTTATATTTTAATATATGTTACACTGAATAGCATGAGTAAGGTATTCAAGATTAAAAATGCATTGATATATATATATATATATTTTTTTAAATAAGATTTTAGAAAGTTTTGAACTTCACTCACTCTATTTATTATGTAAATAGTTGACTTCATTTCTTTGGGCAAAATTAAATAAATTGTAAAGCATTTAAACATTGCAATTTATTACAAGGAATATATTCCTTAGAACAATAAGGAACAAAAGGAAAAAAGGGAACAATATATTACAAGGAATCTGATTGATTTATTAGATTAAACATTTTTTGAGACTATACATGTTTTATCATTAGGTCCTTAACTCAAAAAATATTATATTTGAACATAAAACAACACATTAAAACATATAAAAATACTTTAAACAGACTAAACAAGTTTTAAATTTTTTGTGTTAATGCTTAAAGCATCTAATATGTGTTTAAATTTATTACTCCTACTTGAATGTTATTTTTTTGAGTTGGGGATCTGATGATGCATATATAATGTTGAAAAACATTTAATCCAATATCCCCAATTCAACACCTTAAACTTTTTACATTACAAACTGTTTATTATTGTATGTTATTGTTTGTTATTAGTATTTAGTTTGTATTATGTTTTTTCATTCTGAATTAGTTTAACAATATACAGGGTTTCTACACATTTGGAAAGTCAGGGATTTTCATTAGTGTTCAGAAAAAGTCATGGAATGTCAGGGAATTTGTTAAAATTGTCAAAAATTCTGGAAATTTGCTTCCTTGGCAGCCTTGTTGATTTTTTCGCTAACAATATACTTGACTAAGTGTAGCCATATGCAGGTAGCAAGAAATAATGTGGTGCAATACAATTTATGA